ACTTTGCAGCCCAGGCTGGTCTCGAACTCACAATGATCCTCCTGCCTCAGCCTCTCATTCTCTTTCTAAAACTGCTATACCTATATAGTTTTTGGCTAATTCTTTCACTTTCTTCAAATTATTCCTTAAATCTCACTCTCTTAATGAGGCCTCTTATGACCAGTCATTTTTCATTCAAAGGCAAAAGAAATTCGAACGACTGCACAAACATATGTATATATTGATGAGAATTATTGCTAAAAATTAAAGATGGTTAGTTGAAATCCTTATTTATTGATGTGGGAATATAAGTTCAGCAAATGAAAGAAATTTAGGGATGATGCTGACATAAATGTACCAATGTAGTCAAGAAACACATGTAATTCACAGAATACTATTACTTAGTTCAGTTTGCTGTTCAGTCCATAGATATTAACTACATAGTATGGGACTGTACTTTATTTAACCTGTGGTTCTCCTAATTATGAAGATTATCCCCACTATTGTTACTGGTTACTTCATCTGTACTACCAAATCTTTGTTTCCTTCACTGGCTTTTCTCTCATTCCTATCCTAAATATTTTTAATTATATAGAAAAAGTTTAGGTATGTGCAAGACTCACACTTTAATGATGGATTTTCTCAATAAACAAACATCTTTAGGTCTTTCTTGAACTTTTTGTTCTTTTTCTGGTTTTTATTTTAATAAAAATCAATTAAAGCAAACTGATGTGAAGGACAATTAAATGTATAAAATCATAACATTAGATAAAATTTTTAGAGTGATTTTCCCATTTTAGATTTTTCCTCTTAATATCTGTTTAAATTTACTTTTAAAAAAAACTTCACAAAAAATGTTTTGGGACAAAACTTATAAGGATTAGTACTAATTATACAGATTTTGTTCCTGAAATCTTCGTTGGTTCATTATGTTTTGAGTTAGTGTCTGTGTAGTTCATATTGGCCTTGAACTCACTATGTAGCCCAGGCTGGCCTCAAACGTGGCACGATATTTCTGCCTCAGCCTTCTAAGTGGTGGGACTATAGGTGTGCACTACCAAGCCATACTTCGTTATTGAAATTTTGTCTCTAAATTTTTCATAAGCGTTTTCATAAGAAATGAGGAAAAGCTGTTTATATTTCAAGTAGTGGGTGCAGATATTTTCAAAGGGGGTTCCGAGAAATTTCTTGCTTAATTCTCCAACCAGTCAATGCTGGACACATTTGTTTTGACAATGCAGAAGCAGTAGTGATTTACATCCTATGATATGAATCACAAAAAACAATCCAGATAAATATTAGAGTGGGCTTTATTAACTGCAGGTTTATTAGATTATGTTGCTAAACTTTGTTTAAACACATTGAGTGAACACTATTTACAAATAGCAAGTTAGAAAATGAAAAGAAATATTAATGATAATTAGCAATCATGAGAAAAAACATTTTTTTCTAATAGAATATACATGTAATAGATAGTAAAGTTGGTTTTGTTTTTGATTCTAAGATAGTTGAAGATGTTCCATAAACATACTTTTTCAGTTGGAAAGTACCAAGCAAGTGGCCAAATTGTTGCCCTATCAAAGTTCTCATTTTATCAAAGCCATGTTTTCCTTTATATCTTTGTGGGAAAGAAATACATAAATAAGTAAATGAAAGATGAGAATATTGTGCCTTTTTGTATATGTTCAAAAAGAATACCAGAATACTATTTGGTCTATTGTAAATCATTTGATAACAACTTAGAAGAGTGGTTTTATTTGTCGCAATGTCCAAGATTATAGGATTAACATATAAAACTGTTTTAAAATTTGGTAGGAACTCTTACTTCAGGCATGGGATACTGTCCTTTGTTACTCCTTCACTAGCCACAGTGTTAGTGCTCCCGGAAAGACTCCTTGAAGAAGGAAGCTGGGATGAGATATCTGGAAACGGAGGACTTGTTTCTGGTTCAGGGGTAATAATATCTTCAACATCATACTGAAGCCGTACTTCTAATGACTTAAAAAATCAAGTTTTAATTTAATCTACATCATAAAAATGCATACTTACATTAATCTCTTTGATAACTTTTTAGTAATTATTCACAAATTTTTCTCATTAGGAAATTCAATTTGAAATTATATTAATATTGAGAAGTACACCAAGATGTCAAATATATGGAATACTCAATGGCAACCAGAAAAGACAAATTTTTGATTCTACACAATTACAAGAAATACCTAGAGATAAAGTATTTATATATTAAAAATAAAGTTTCTAAAAAATTGATTACTATTCCAATGAAAAAAAAAAAAATGTATCTATGTGTTTGTATTATTTGTACAAAGCCTTTTAGTTTTAAAAAACTCATTGAATCTTGGATTTGTACTAATTTAGAAAAATTTTCCAAAAAAGTTCCATATTTTTGGTTATTTCTTTTGTTTCCTTAATTTTTACTTGTTTAATTTTATTACCTTGATTAGAATTACTTAATGAGTAATGATATTGATTTAATAATTTATATAGAAATAAGGTGACCTGAAGGCCTTTTCTGAAACTAAAAATATTTTCCAATAATGCTTATTTCAATGAGTGCACTGAACACTTTAATTAAAATGGATTTATAAAAAATATTTGCTCTACAATCTAGGGTGTACATTTTTGGAATTGAAAATAATGAATGCCATAATTTCATTAAAACTACAAAAAAAGTCTAGTGGCAATAGTTATCAATTCTTGAATATTTATTACACTTAGGTACCATGTTAACAACGTCTTTAAATAATCAATATAAATCCCCATGAAATTGATATTACTATTTCCAGTTTACTTTTATTTTCTATCTTGTTTACATAGAAAATTACACAGTTCATGAAGTGAATCATATCTAGACTCTACTACTGACTAGCAACCATTTGAGTTGTTCATAGTCACACTGGAATTCAATGGTACAGGAAGAATTAAAACCTAGTTATAATTTACTTCAAAGCTTGGGGTTCTAATGTACTATAAAAAGGTGATTTTAATTTTAGTGGTGGAGGTAAAAATACACAAGTATTAGAGTCATCAATCTTTATCTTCTGCTAATAGTGTTAAATAGAATAATTATTTACATTGCTATAAAAACAATAATTAAAAATAATCTTACTGTAGTTGAGAAATAATCATTTAAAACAATTAGTTGACTAAGAAACAAAAATTAGTTAAACTTAAAAAAAAATACAGAACAAAGCCTGCACTAATTTATAATAATATAGTAACAATATACCACAACTGGTATATTATGGTATATTATGAATGCAAATGAATGCTGCATATGAATGTATACAAATATATGTACTTTCTATAGTATATACATATTACAAAATATATTATATTCTATAGTTTTCTTTATCATAAAAGTAAAGAAATAATTACAAATGCTAAAATTGTAATATTGACAATTAATGTTCAGAAGAAACTGAGTCATTTTGGCCACACAGATGCAACATTAATGGGATAGAAAAATCTTGTATATATTAAAGAGAAAAATGAAAAAAGTATTTGTAGCAAGATTAACTTAAAGTAGTAAGCTTATTTCGATGCTGAAAGTAAATACTAAGTTTTGATAGAGAACTCTTCTTGTCATATTAAGCCAAACAACTTTTTAATACATGTATTAAGTTACAATAACAATTTTAAATCCTATGAATTATATCCCTTGCTATAAAGTGCACTCTTATTGTCTTAAAACCATATCATTAGTAGCCCAAATCTATAACTGGTTTCTTTCATTATCTGTAAGTATAAAAATTAAGTTTTAAATAACTTACCACTATTTCTGTTGTAATTTCATGTCTGCTGAATTTATAAATAATGACATATGCAGAAACTCCTGATACACAAAATATTCTGCTCTCTGGACACCAATAAATCATCTGAATGGCAAACGGATCTTCCTCTACAATTTCACATGACTGTCTGCTTTCTCCCACCTTCTGTTTTTCAAAGACTTTTGAAGTTTTTAGCTTGTACAGCATCTGCAGAGTTACTGTGACATATTTAAACAGTTATCTTCTAATTTGAACTCATGTTTAGATGTTAAAACTTTTTCACTGTATTTATTAGACCACAAAAGTACAGAAAATTTCATGGAACTAATAATCATTTACTATCATGCTCTTATTTCAGTGTAGTATTAAGATGATGACTAGAAGGAAAAAATAAACAATTATTGTACATATATGCTCAGGAATATATATTTATTTTTGTATGTGACCCTGAGAAAAGTCCTATGATGCATTTTTATTCTTATTTATCGGTGAAAACACTGGGGGCTTGGAAAGAATACAGTAAAAATATAACATGATTCTGTCCTAAGTAGGCTCCCTCAGAGTTTTTTCAAAATTTACCCCTTTGATTGCTAGATAGGAGTGTGACAGTATCCACAGGTTAACTAAATTCTAAAACATTAGAATTTTTAAAGTGTCCTTTCACATTTTAGAAGGAAGGAGCGACTCTGAGCTGGCAGGAAAAGAGTGATGACGCCAGTATGAATTAATTTTATTCCAGAAACAAGTTCATATTTGCATGAAAAGATTCAGAAAAGATTGCATGAAAGTATGTTGCTTTTTTAGTTTCTCCTTAATCATTTACTCTAATATATGAAGCCTGATATGGTTTGATTTGAGATATCCCCCAAACGCTCATGTGTTCAGATGTTACCAAATCATGAGGGCACTCAGTTCATCAATGGATTAATCCATTGATGTGTTCTTAGCTCAGTGAGTTACTAGGAGATAGGACACAGCAGAAGGAAGTTACTGGGCGGTGGGTGTGAATCTTTTTGAAAGGTGTATCTTGTCCCCACCCCTTTCCTCTCTTACTCTTTCCCACTGGCTGCTTCCTAGCTGCTGTGATGTGAGCAGCTTTCCTCTGCTATGCTATTCTACCATGATATTTCTATAATGGAGCCAGCCCACCATGGAGCAACACCTCTGAAAATGTGCCAAAATAACCTTTTCTCCTTTAAATTGTATACATCAAGTATTTTGTCCCCACAACTGATCGGTGACTAATATACAAGGTCAGAAAATGGTCTTAGAACTTAAGACTTTAAATCTTTTAATCTTTTTCTGATGTTGAAGATTTTCTTGACTGGTGAGAGACTCTAACTTGTGATAGAAGAGTATCATCAAGTCATTTTTTTTCTTCTGCTTTTCAGTTTACTATAGTCTTCCTGAGAAAATATTCATTTCTACAGCTTCAAATATCACTTATATGTTGTTTCTTCATTCTCAATTCTTGATTGTTCTATCTATCTGCTGGACATTTTTATTTGAAATTTTTGATATTTCTATAAAGTTTAAAACTCAAAATCTCTCTTGTATTCCTTATTTCCAAAAGAGTTCACTTCATCTTCTCAGTACGTATCTTCAGAAATTTAGAGTTGTTGCTAACTTGTTCTCTTCCTACTCCTGCTAAAATCTTAACCATCTTCCAGTATTCACACTAACGCTATTAAAGTATCCTTCCTGATTCCAAATAAATACTTGCTATTTCTAACAACAAACAGGATTTGTATCATATTATATTTAGAATCCTTTCATATTGTTTGCCAGGTAGTGACAAATGTAAATTTCTTTATTTTGTCTAGTGACCAGAAAGTCTCCTGAAAAATATTTATGGGTATAAAGAAGATTTAATTATTTTTGTGTGTCCTTCAACACTGAGCAGAATACCTTATGTATTCAATAAATTATATAATTTTTAAGAATTTAGTAAGAATTTTTTGTTACAAATAATTTCTTTTGCTCTTCACAGGACTTAGTAGATGAATGAGAAAGGAAAGTCAAGACTAGAGAGACAGAAGCACTTGGCAAAGACTGAACAGTTAGGAGGCAAAGAAAATTCCTTGAACAAAGCTAATTTGACAAAGTTTGGTAGTATTTCTGACATACTACATCTTCAAGATAAAATAGGTTGCTGACAGAATGACTTAGTCTCATTGTTCTATATCACAGAAGAAAGGAAAAACTTTAAACTGGATTAACAATATGGGACATAGAATTTGTAATACCAATACATTTATCTAAAAATATTTCCAAAATATTAATTGCCAAAACTAAAATATAATGGATGGTCATGATTCAGTGTTAACCAAGAGTTGTTTACAGGGATAAATTTAAAACTTACTTGCAGAAGCATCCCAAAATTTTACTGATCCATCCGCATGACTAGATGAAAAAAGATTAGCATTAATTAAAGTGCATCAAATAAAAAATCATCACTCCAAAACATAAAAATTTGAGTAAATGCTTTTAATTTTGATTCAAAAAAAATATCATTATAATGAGAACTAAGGCATGATAAAGTATTTTCGGCTTCAAAACACTAGCCTCTTTCTTAAATAATACCCTACAATCTGAAGATTATAAAAAGAAAAATTTCTTAGATTTTACTGTAAGACTTTACATGCTATAGTGGCAATTGGCCCATGGAAAATAAGCAAATTTCCTTAGTTAAAATTATGTACATTTAGTGAGAAAGATAACATAATTTTGACATTATCAAAATATAAATTCAAATCCTTAAACATGTCTAAAATTGTAATGATTTTTAAAATAAGTAAGCTACTGTCAATCCTATAAAAGCTTATCTACAAAAAAGAAGAGGATAGAATACTTCCCAACATGTTTGATGAAATCAGCATTATCTTGATGCCAAAACCAGAAAAACATTACATGAAAATTAAACACCAATATCTCTCATGAGCATAAGCATAAAAATCATCAATAAAATATTGGCAAATCAAATCGGTAAGATATAAAAAGTGTAACAGATCATAATTAAATGAGGTTTTATCTTAGGAATACAAAGTCAGTTAAATATTTTTTAAGAAATCATCATATTTTAATGCACTATAACGTCAAAGAAGGAAAGCCATACAATCATTTTGACAGATGCAGAAAAAGCATGTAACAAAAATTTACCAAAAATCTATTTATGAAAAAACAGCAAATTAGGAATAGAGAAAACTTCAGACTCTTAGCGGGCATACAGAAAAAATCTGCACATAGCACCTAACATAAATAGTAGCAAAAAACCTAATGTTTTCTCCATAAGATAAGAAATGAAGCAAAAAATATTCACTATCACATAATACTGGAGTTTATCACTGCAGTAGAAGGAAAAGAAACAAAAAACACACAGCTGAAGAGGCGTCTGTAATTCCAGCACTTGGGAGGTTGTGGGAAAAGGATTGCTGAGACTTTGAGAACAATCCGGGTTATAGAGTGCATTCAAGGCCAACCTGAACTGCATGCTGAGACTTTGTCTCAAGAAAAAATAACAAAAAACTGAAAAGAAATAAAATTTTTTTCTATTTTCAGATCACATGATACAGAAAATTGTTATGCAGAGAACTCCGAAGATTAAAAGGGATACTAGAGCTCATATGAGTTTAAGATAATTGTTAAGATAAAATGCCAAGATACAAAATTAAGTTGTGTTTCTAATAGTAAAACCACTCAAAAGTTGAACTACAAAATATCATATACAAAAGTAAAAAATAAACACAAAATAGCCTTAATTTAAACTAACACAGACCTGTATGGTGAAAACTACAAAATTCCAATCAAAGAAATAACAAATGTTTTAATAAAATGATATATTTCTAATTATTGTAAGATAGTAGGTGTTGGTTTTCCCCAGATGTTATGTACATTCAATATAATCCCAATTGAAATATGCTAAAAAAAGTTCTTATAGAAATAAAATTATTCTAAAATTAGAGAAAGGTAAAGAAAGTATAATCATCAAAGTAATTTTGAAAAACAAAAAATAAAGTCAGAAGACTCAAACCACCTAGAATTAAGTCTCACTCTCAAAGTCATCATAAGTTATTTTGCTATTGGTGATAAATGGACACATATATCAATAGAACAATATTATTAGAATCCAGAAGTAGAGCCACATACATATGGTCAAACTAAGTTTTTTGAGGAGAGGACAATCACAGAGAAAGCAATGTAGTTTACTTTTACAGAGTCAGTGAGGCATAATTTACAAGCCATAACATTCACCCATGTAAATGTACAGTTTGATAATTTTATTAAATTTATACAGCTGTGAAAATGACACCATCATCTAGTTTTAGAAGTTTCATCACTTGAAAAAGTTACATCATGCCAATATACAAACTTCTTGCATCTCAGTTGATTTCCAGTGATTGATTTTCTGCCAGTATAGATTCTTTTCATTAGAATTTTCATTAAATGGAATTAACATAATATTTACTTTTTTGTGCATGCACGTTTTGATTATCATGTTTGTGAGGATAATAACGATTACATACATCTATAAACTGCTTTTCTTTATTGTTTAATAGTCTATTATTATATGGACATACTTCATTTATACACTGACCATTAGTAGACATTTGTGTTGTTTTCAATTGTGGGTTAGCACAATAAAGATGTTATGAATTACTTTGTATGTTTCCATATTTTAATCATGTACATATTTTTTAAAAAGTCATTTCTGAAACATTTTGTAGGACGTGGTATGACTTTATACAATCTATCAAACTTTAATTTTACTTTGTTCTTACAATGTAATATTTGATTTGAATACAACAATGTATATTTCACAGAATTAAGATATACAATGTAGGGGCTGGGGATTTAGCTCAGCAGCACAGCACCTGCCTGGCAAGCACAAGGTTGTGAGTTCAATTCCCGGCACCAGAAGAAAACCAAAAAAAAAAAAAAAAAGATATACAATGTAATTGTATTGAAACTACTCAACCAAAGGACTAACATTAATATATCTTCATATGTGCTCTTCTTGATCCCATCTTCCTGTCTTCTTTGTGGCAATAAGTTAGCACTACAGTGAAATCTTTTTAAATCATCATATTTTTTATAATACTATCATTTATATGTATACATTATAAACAATATACTGAATTTTTCAGGTTTAAAACTCTTATATATTAAATTTTTTGGCAGTCCAATAATTAAAATCATTTGAACAAAAAAAAGCACTGTGATTAAACTGCATTTTAAAACCTTGGAAAACACCTTGCAGTAACTTGGATTTTACTCGAGATTTTACCATTATACAGTCCAGCTTCATGTTTTACCCACAAATTTTTTTCTTTCCTTACTCCCCAGAAAAGCAGATGGGAGAAGAAAACATCTTCATTGTCAGTAGTTACTTATTCTTTTACAGCAAAGATGCAGAATGGTCACTTAAATTAAAGTTAAGCAGGTAAAGTAAAACTGAACAATGCTTGTGGGATATATGGTATATACTGGCACCACACATTTCTCTACAATTCTCCTGTTTTTCCTATGCAATCATTTACTTTGAAGGCAGAGGACTGTCTTCAGTTTTACCTATGACATTTCATGGGTGTGTCAAACACAGTTGTGGGGAAGGACAGCAAGATGAGCAAGAGCAATTTGGCCAGCACCATAGTCACCTCCAAGTCAATATATTGCTCACTTTTGCTGCTTTTTAAAACTTTATCACAATCGTATTATGTTGCACATAAATTAAAGAAACTTAGGCTTTTCTCGTGTTAGATTTATAAAATTTATACACATTTTTGCTTGAACTTCATTCATTTTTGCTTTAACATATAACATTCTGTCCAATATAGATATTCTTTGGTCCTTAGTAATTATGACTTTTTCTTTTCTACTTTCTTTTGATATTACTAAAAATACAGCTACGAAGAACCTTGTACACATCATTTGATATTTATGCAGAAAAGCAGACTTGTTAGATATTAGGGTATGAAATTGATCAAATTTACAAGATAATGTTAAATTGTACCAGATTTTAAAATTTATACTTTCACTTATAGTATAGAATTCTCAATGACCCACACCCTTTACAACATTTGTTTCTAACAAACTTCTGAATTTTCTAACAATAAATGTTGAATGTAAAATGATATCTCATTATGGTTTCAATCTGCATTTACTAATTTCTCTAATTATTAAAGTGAAACCATGTAAGTTTTCTCTTCTGTCAAAGGACTTATCAAGGCTTTTTTCTATTTTTCAATTGAGATGATTGTCTTTCTATTATTGAAGGTATATAATGTAGACACATCATTTTGGTGGTGAGATATGGCATAAATATCTTGCAATTTCTTCCTTGCTTTTTTATTTTCTTTATGGGGATGTATTGAAGGTGTATGAAGTTTGCTAGTGTTTCCGAAATCTTTTGTTCTATTTTTTATAACAGTTAAAAAGAAAGATTTCTGTCCAAATATAATTTTTATTTTGGTAATTTCTCTATAATTCTTCAGTATTTTTTATAAATATTAAAGACACATTGACTACATACACATTTAAAATTACTATATGTTACTTTTAAACTGAAATTTTAAATATATACAGTGAATAGATCTAATTTATTTATAAGAGTATTTGGGCACAAAATCTAAATGGTCTAATTACACCATGGCTTTACCAAATATTTCTTTGTTAATATTCACAGTATTTTTAAAAACTTATAAAATGACCACTTTTAATATATATGTATTACAAATGTACCTATTTTAAAATAACATAGAGTTGTATTTTATCAATATAGAGTTCCAAGCTTTATTTTACCAGGGGCACTTTAGCCTAGGCATATTTAATTACATATTTACTTTAAATGCATCATCTTATTCAGTTTTTTATATTTGCTCCCCCTTACTAAAATGTTGCCTTTCCCATGAATTCTTGTTTCTTTTCAATAGATTATTTAATTGTGGGAAAATTCACACAATACAGAATTCACATAAATTTACTTTATAAAACATTTTGAAGAGTGAAATGTCATTGAATTTATTGTATTTATAATGCTGTGCCTCTATTTAAATTCCAGGATGTCTTCTCCATCTGCTCATATTCTGTCCTTCTAATTTCTTACAAAAACTAATATATTTACTATTTTTAAGGATTTGCCTGTTGCAGTTACCTCATATAAGGACTTTATGAAATATGGCTTTTAATATAAGGTCTTAGAAAATATTTTGCTAAGAAACCAGATTTTTAAAGTCTACCTATGTTATAGCATTTATCAGAAATTCATTAATTTTTATGGCAGAATAATATTCCCTGTATAAACATTTTATTTATCTATTTCTCAGTTAATAGACATTGGGTTTGTTTCCACATTTGATTATTGAGAACAGTTGCTAAGAACATTCCATATAACTTTGAGTTTAAAC